CGAGGTTAATTGTGTTAAATATGCCATTTCAGCCTGCAGAATGGCATTTCAAACTGTGGCCTAACAAAAATATTGAAAATAAATATCGAGTTTCTGTAATATAAAACTAAATAATTCCTCTCCCTGTATAGTTCCTAAAGTTAACTAGACAGAAACAAATGTAAGTTAATTTTAACAGAATCACTCAAATAGCAATTAATCTGACTGATGTTAACGTTAAAGGTTTGATCGAGCTTTTAAGTAAAGCAATAGATAGTTTAAAGTTACAGTACCGTTAATATAACATTAATATTTACATTAAGTTGCATCAATGTTAGCATTAGCATCAAATGCTAATTAGCGCTACTAGCCTGTGACATACAGTAATAAACGTTCTAATTACACTGACTTTAATATTCATTGGTTTAATTTGTAATTATTTATTTTATTTATGTTATTTTTTCTTTTTAATTTGCATTTTTCACTTAGTGAAGGCGGGGACTGTTGACTAACGTTAGTAGCTCTAAATTAGTTGACTGGAATGCTGTGACGGTGTTAGCATGTAGCATGTTCACACATAAAATAAGCACAGTCCGCAATTAAAACCATGTCCTACCTTTTGTTGTAACTTAATAAAATCTACTGCAATTAATGTCAACAAAGAGGTTTAATCCACAAGAATTTGATCATTATTCCTACCTGTTAGCGTTCACATCGGTTCAGTCCTTATTTAGGCTAGAGTGGGTTATTTTTTGAGAATGAATCTGTGGATTTAAATAAATTGTGAGAGTCGATTCATCCTTGACCTATTCATAAACACAACAGTTGCTTTGTTGCTGAATAAATGTCTTATTCACTTAAGACAGTGTCCTACCACCACCTACTGGCGGTTTCAGGTAATACATGGATAACTTCATTTTGTTGCATATTTTTCTTTTTAATTTATTATTTGAAGCATTATTCATTTAAAAAGAATTCACAAGAATAACGAATTTATATATTCATAACATATTAAATATAATATAAACGATAATAATAATACTGTTAAAAATGATAAATAATTGATAATGAAAATATAAAATAACTGAAATGAGCTACTCAAAATAAATGAATCATACACACACACGCACACGCACACACACACACACACACACACACACACACACACACACAAACACACACGTATAAATATATATAAACATGGTAATAATTCTAATAAAAAGCAATAACGCAGAAAAAGTTGTGCAAGACAGAAAAAAAATACATAGGCCTAAGTGCAAAATTAATTTAATTAATAATTGGAAAAAATGTGTATATAAGCAGGTGGCTGTGTGAGCACATTAAGGCGAATGAGCCAGTCAGTCTAGCGCGGGCCTGCATTAGAAGTTTGTTGTGATTTAAAAAGTCTCTACGTCATACCAAATGGAACTGTGGAACTCTGACATCATCGGTGACAGTAAAAAGCTTTTGACGTAGCAGAAACTCTCATTAGCTTCTTTGGATGTCTAGTAGTTCAGTACTTTCTGCGATTCAACAGTACAGTGATAAAATGGCATTTTCAAAACTGATTAACCGTCTGAAGAAAGCGTTTGGTGTTAAGTGTGCGAACGAACAACCGTGTGAGCCACTCGAACCCACCGGCAGCACGACAGAGAATCACCGTCATCTGATGACCGATGACCCGGCCGTCGCTGCAGGAAAACAGGCAGGGAGACAGAAAAAGAGGAAACTCAAATTGTCTCCCATCTTCTTCGCCTGTTTTTCCAGAAGAAGAGCTACTGTTGTTGGTAAAATAGATTTATGAGCACTTTTAATTACTAAAGCATACTGTTAAACACACCAAACACATCACATAAGTGTTTAAAGATCAGAAATGAACATTACTGGAAGACATTTTAGAAAGAGTTTCTTAAAGCCACAGTTCACATAAACAAGACAATTCTGTCATAATTTACTCCTTAAACCTGTTTGAGGTGCTTTCAGCCATTGACTTCCACAGTATTTTGTGTTCCTACAATGAAGGTTAATGGCTGCTGATTTCAGGAATTTTCTTCAGAATTTGTAGTTTTGTGTAAAAAACAGAAAAAATAAGAATTATTTGTATTAGGATTTTTTATTTCAGTGAGCTTTGCCTTTAGATACGGTATATAGTTTACTTGTTTGCTAATTCAATGCAGAAAACCCATGAAGATCATCAATAAAAACACATTGAGTAATGTTTCTGCAAATGAACTGTTCAAATATCTTGTCAAAAAGAGTTGTAGAGTCATATTAATGATGTTCCTTCCTCTCTTTAGATCAGCTATGTGTGCAGGAGATCCACGAACTTCACGCAGAGCCCATCAGTAGCTCTAAATTCTTCTGCACTGCTGTGAGCAACCTGGAGCTGGAAGTTCTCCAACCTCCAGCTCTTGATGCTCCAGCAGACGAAGATTTGGACTTTAAGCCGGAAGTGAACAGCTTTGACTCTGCAGTGGTCATTGAGAACGACTCTGCAGAGCTTCACTTCCCAGCAGACAATGAATCCTCCCTCAGTGAGGACAGCCTGAAGCAAGAGCTTGATAGTCCTCCAAGTTCACCATCCGATGAGGACAATGAACTTCCAGTGAGCCAGCAGCTCATAACAGATGACATCTGTGACTCTGCCCTGGATGAAAACTCAAACCCTTCACCGGATCAGGTCTCACAAGAGGACTCTGCTGTGAAGTCTACAGCAGATGATGGGACCTGCTTGGACAATAGTAAGTTTATTGCTGGAGTTCAGAACATTTGTTTAGGCTCATCAAACTTTGTAAAATTATACAGTTGAAGTCAAAATTATTCGCCCTCCTGTGATTTTTTTATTAATATTTTTTAAATATTTCCCAAATGATGCAGAGCAATAACGTTTAAGTATTCAGAACTTTAAGCTGAACACTGGTATCTTGGAAAATATCCAGTAAATATGATGTACTGTCATCACGACAAAGATAAAAGACATCAGTTATTAGAAATGAGTTATTAAAACTATCATGTTCTGAAATCTGACAATAATTCTGACTTCAACTGTTTGTGTTTTTATTTGGTTTATAATTTAATGACATTTTCTTCATTTTTAACAGATGACATCAGCTGCCGCTACAAACTCGGAAAGCAGCTTGGTGAAGGAGGTTTCGGCTCCGTGTATGAGGGGATTCGCATACAGGATGGTCTGCAGGTATTCATTTTTGTAGACTCAAATCCTCTGATGAAGTTCCCTGTTTAAAGAACATCATCAGAGCTTTCATTGTTTGGACATTTCTGCTGACGAATGAATCCTCTGTTCAGGATTTATGACTGAATGAAATGATCTCCGTGCACATGTTAATTGTTAGCTTGTTCCTTTAAACAGGTGGCAGTTAAATTTGTCCAGAAGACCCCAAATATGCAAGATGTCAGCTCTGTGAGTAGACTACACTTTCTGTTCGCTGTGTTCAGTTTATAAAGTCTTATATTTATTATAGACCACAGGCTGTGGTCAGAAACCCTTGTTTGAAAACCAACATTATTATTTTGTTTTCAGTCATGTGACCAGCCACTTCCTCTAGAGATCACCTTGGCAAACATGGCCAGCGGTGGCTCCAGGTGTGCGAACATTATTAAGCTTCTGGACTGGCAGGTCTTTAAAAACCATTACGTCATGGTGATGGAGCGGCCTAGTCCAAGCATGGACCTGGAGGCATTCCTTGAAGTCAGCGGAGGAGTCCTCAGTGAGAAAACAGCACATACCATCATGAGGCAAGCTGTTTATGCTGCCAACGTGTGCTGTTACCGCGGGGTGTTCCACCGGGATATTAAGCTTCAAAACCTGCTGGTGAACCCCGACACACTGGAAGTCAAGCTGATCGACTTCGGGTGTGGAGACTTCATGATGGAATCAGCCTACAGTATCTTCTCTGGTAGGTGTTTTGAATAGTGTGGTCAAAAGTATCGACTTCGGTACCAATCGATTCTGACATTTAACAAGTCAATTTGAGCGCTGTTAAACACCACTGATTGGCCATTGGTGTTCACATGCTCAGCAAATATGACTGTGATGAGTGTCGGTATCGATTGGTAGTTGATACTTTCGACAACACTAGTTATGAATGTGCATAAGCATTATTAATATACGTATTGAAAGCTGGTTAATTAGCACAGCTGAAGCCCATCTGGTATATATATTCAACATGATGCTAAACTAAACGTCTCTCCTCCAGGCACAGAAGCGTACATCCCGCCAGAGTTTTATGAAAAAGGATGCTACCGGGCCAAACCAGCGACGGTCTATTCTCTTGGGGTTCTTCTGTTCACAATGCTCCATGGAGAATTCCCATCAGCGTATGACCTGTACTACCTTCAACATGACTGGTCCAAATTTACCCTCTCTCAAGGTGAGATGTTCATCAAAGAACAATTAAGTGAAACAGCTTAATAATAATAATAACAATAACCTCACCTCTCCATTTCTTCTTCACAGAATGCTGTGATATGATGACGGCTTGTCTGCATGAGAATCCAGAGTGCAGAATTCCTCTAGAAGAGATGCCTTACCACGACTGGTCCATGCTGGAGTTCTGAGTCACATTAGCAGAATGTTTTGTATATTTGATTTTTGTACATGTCTGTAATAAAGATATATTTTATTGAACTCACTTGTGTTGTCAGATTGTGTGGATTTAAAATGGTTTTGTTTGGGGTGACAAAAATTTGGCATGAGGTTTGAACAGCATCCAGTCCTTTCCAACACACACTGCAGTTGACACTGGCGTCATTACGGCGCACTTTTAGAAATACACTTTTTCAGAATGCTGTACAGCGCTGACCCAAAACCTAAACATATCAGTCACTGCGACATAAGCAAATCATCCATAAATATTCCAATGGTTTATTGTGAAATCAGAGCTGTTCAGAAAAATGTATTAAAATACAAACGTCGTAACATGAGAATGTGAGACTCAATACAAAACATCAGCATTTTCACAATAAGAGCACCCAGTTTTATTAAGGTCTTTAAGTGTTGCCATCATGACAATCCTAAACAAAATATTCAGTGATATTCCTTCAAATCAATACTGATAGTGTAGTTTGCGCAGACACACTGAGGTTTATCCAGTGTACAGAAGTCTGAATCATCCACATTATTTCATACGCTTCCAGAAACACGTTTACTACACGAATGTCCAGCGTTTGCTAAAACTGTTCAACTCTTTAGATGATTCCTTTCTTACAACATCTCCAACTATGACAGCTTCTCATTACTCACCATTTCTTAATCTTACTAAATACTTGACTTGATGTCACTCTGTGGACTCTGGGGTCATGTGCAGCATGAGCAGGTCGGCCCCCCGGCGGACCACCACATTTAAGCTTTCGCTGGTCCTCACAGCATTATATATCTCCTCTGACGTGTTCACCTTTACCCCATTGATCTCAATAATAACATCTCCTGGCTTCATTCTGGCTCTGCAAAACAGAAAACAGGAAATGGCATCATCAAAAGGATGCCTTAATCAACAGCTGATAACATCATGTTCAGAGAGCAGCACACCTGTTCGCTGGAGATCCTACAATCACACGGTGGATGAGAACTCCATGAGAAACATCAGGGAAGGACGGGTCTCGCATCCTTAGCTCTTCGATTATACTGAGGAGGGGAAAAAGAGAATTTAAAGATGATAAAAGACTCACTTCAGTGCAAAGTTTACAGTTTAAGGATTGATTGATAAATAGATAAGATAGATAGATAGATTCATAGATAGGTAGACTAATAGTTTGATAGATAGATCAGCATAACAATCAATGTTACATTTGCTTCAACCAAAAACACCTCAACAAAACATTCATACTACTTCAGTCGCATAGAGTGTGACAAAGGAAATGCTGTTAATTTGCAATGCATTGAATTAAAGGTGCAGTAGGTGATTGTCCGCAGAAACATTTTAGTTGTGCTGGTTGAAAGTCTCTTCACAGTCCAATAGTAATGATTAAAGTAAATGATCTAAATGTGTTTATATGTATTTTATATTGTGGGTAAAGCATAAAACTAAAAAATGTTCATCCAATTAAATATTGTCGGGTCGACATCTCCCGTAATTCCGATAAGTAACTCAAACTGTCTGTCAGCAAATGCAGATTTCAGGCCGTGTGGCTTTGAATCACAGTCCCTCCCCGCGGTCCAAAGATAATAGGCTAAGTGGTTAGCATTTTGGCAGATCACCTACTGCACCTTTAATTATTCACAGAAGTGTTCAAATCAATACCACAATTGAACTCGTGTCATTTGGGACAAAAAAATAAAATGATATTGTTCAACTCTACATTATGATATTGCTTAACTCTACATTATGTATACAAAACTAAAACCTTAAATATCTTGAATTTAACAGGGCTCATACAGGCACAGCCTAATGTAAATCAAGGACTTTTAAGTACTTTTTTCCAGCACCTATTTTTATTTTCAAGACTGACACGCAACGTATTAAAACACCGCATAGGAATTTATATATATACGCAAATAAAAACCATTAATGATCATAATAATAATATAATTAATTAATCAATTGTGTATTAATAATATATTAAACCTGCACTAAATGTGCTTGTGAAAATGTTTTTTTTATACTATTACACTGCTAAAATAATACAAGTTTTGGTAAATAATACTAACATTGGGTAAAAGTACAAAGTACTCTTTTAAAAACTACTCAGAGTACTAGTTAGATATCTTTTAGAGAAAAACTCAGATTTTCATTATGGCTCTTTATAAAGAAATGATAATAAATTTATTTGAATGGTTTAATTGCTTAAATCACAAAGCTACATATATAAAAATGTGCACTAACAAAGGAAGTATGGTCGATTTTTCCTTCCATGACAATTAATCTTTTTCAATAGTACTGGCAAAACTACCACATACTCTATACTCTAAGGCCATAGAGACACATTTTGTCCATTTTTTAAACAATATTTTTAAGTTTTGAAAGGTTTAATTAAAGTATATGATAAAAATATTTAAATTTACCCTTTTATTTACATATTTTACACCATTTTTCTTATTTGCTCATTCTTGTCTTTACAATATGGCAAATTTGTTTCTTAAATAGCTGTACAGCACATGGAAATATTATTTTACACTTGATCTTAAACTGAAATAATTTTACAAAAAAGACAAGTACACTGTCAGTAATAAAATAATAAAGCAAATGGCTTTGTTTAACTCTAGGTATTTGAAATATGACAACACTGCATTTCTTAAAGCAGTGTTTGAAGAGCCTTATTGTTTATTATGATAAATGTAACAGCAGATTGCTTTGACCTGTAATGCCTGTACAATTCAGTGATGCTTTAAGACAGATCAGAATACAGCTATAATGTATAAATCCCACAAACAACTCAAACAGAAACATTTCTAGCATAATTCTTTTGTCTTAAAAAAATATAAAAAGTCCCAACTTTGCTCAAAGTAAGTTTCACTTGACGATACAGCCAAATAAAAAGTCTGTAATCTAAATACTATTTTAGTCAAAGAGCAAAGATAAATAATTTCTACTTTAATATTGAAGAGATCGCGATTGTATACAGTCTGAGCACACACACGAGATGATGAGAGGACTTGCAGTTAATTTGAAAAGCCTATTTAAGAGCTCGCATATCTGTTTTTATGATTAATGTACATGACTGCGCTCTCATGTTAAAATAAAGCGCTCACGACGTTTGCAGAAATGAGTAATTGCGCAATACCTGCATTCCCTCACCAACATTCAGAAGAGTGACAGACAAGTCAGAAGAAGAGAGCAGAGAGAAGAGAGCAAAATGTGTGTGTAGATCGTTGAAATGGCAGGAAGTATGTCCGTGGTTTAATTACTAACAACATCCGAAAAGCATTATTTCAATAAAACATTTGTTTTTAAGTTGTTTTTTTCTGTCACTGCAACACAGAAAGGCCTTTGTCCCGCCCTTACATTTCAGGTAAAACTAGAAAAGGTTGACTGTGATTGGCTACTTTTCATTTCATTTAAAATCACTGCGTCAGAATTACAGTATTTTGTGCGGGTATTTTTGCATTAAATTGTCACAAAAATTCACAAACATTTTTATTTTTCGGGCGTGAAAATTGCATACAAATTCTCCTTGATAAATTAAGCACTTTTCAACAGAACAAGCCAATTTTCCAGGTATTCCAGCACTTGAATTTCTAAGAGCCAAATCTAGTGGTATATAACAAAAATCTGCAGATTCCATAATGTATGAATTTTGCTCTCCTGTAAAATTGTAATAAAAGTGTTTGGCACCTGGGGGTCAAAGTCAACATCATCACTCCAATGTAACGCCTTTTCCATCCCGATTCTCCAAACCAAGACTCTGAAAAAAAGACCCAATAACCATCTGTCAGTGAAAAAAAATGCTGTCACAGACAAAAGCAAGCAGCTGTGAGGTCATTCTTACTCTGTTTGTCTGCAGATCGGTCTAGGAAGAGACGGACTCTGTCTGAGGGAATAGCGAAGGAAATCCCTGCTGTCACTTTCATGGTATTAATGCCGATGACCTCACCATCCTGAAGAGTACAAACATGACACATCAGTTTATTACATAAGGCTAGAGTATGGCCAGTACAATACAATATTGATGAACATTTGAAAACAATTCACGTTCTTAATATGACAGTCATGAAGCTCTGTGTTGCTCTGAAGGTCCAGCAATCTGTAGTCAACTACTAAATGTGCACTAATAACTTTCTCCTTCACATTATTGTACATGGATTTCGTAGCGTGGTTCTAGCACACTAATTAAGGTCATATTTACACTATGTACAGTTGCCTCGAACCGGGCCAAAGCACGCTTGTCCCCCCTCACATCTCCCCCGACGGCCCGCACTCACATTACAATCAGGCCTGGGCACGCTTACGTCATCGATGCTGTGCTGTTCAGTGAGAAGCGCTCTCGCTCAGCACAGTGGAGATTTCTCTAGTTATATAGTTTCAGTCGCTTGATATGCAGTGACATGCAGTCAATTATTTCGACCAAACAGTCCTTAGGGATGCGGTGACACGCAGTCAGATATTTCGCCGAACAGATCCACCACTTTTGGCGCTCATAAACAATCATAAAGCCCTCGTGCTATAGGAATGAGGAGGTTTGCTGAAGGTGCGCAGCTGTCATACAGTGAGAGGTTTGCGTATTTAATAAACTACGGCAGTTTGCGTTCATTGAACAGTAAGAATGATAAATTAATCCATATGAAACAGTCCCTTAAGAGTCACGTCTCGCTTTCAGTTTCAGGTTTGGGCGCGTTTTTCACTCACACTACAAGTGTACTGCGCCAAAGCCCAAGTGAACCACACTCAGGCTCACCTCTTCCAACCGGGTCAGGGCCGACCATGTAAACCATGCCTGCGCCCGATTCAGCGCACTCACACTTCTCAAACGATCCGGGAAACGGGCCTAGACACGGTTCGGATAGCATAATGTGAGTACGCCCTAAATACCTAAAATCTGAATTTTCTACCACTGAATAAGGTTGCATGTCTGCGGCTATAAATACTCCTACCGCGCTTGTATTTGTCTTTGTTTGTGTTGAGTTACTTGGAATTTTTATTCTAAATGAAGACAGGAGAGTAGTTTGTGTTACACTTGTCGGTTTAACAGATAAAGCAATGATTTTGTGGACATCAGTAATCTAACTATTTGCCTTAATCTGATTAAAACAACAATATGATTAAGGTGTTTACATGAGTTGCTTTTTGAATGTTCATTTCATGATCCCGTTTTACATGTTAAAGCACATAATACGATTAACGTCATTGTGTCACCACGCTATCCCTGGGGCGTTTCATTCTAAATTTGTCGACTTTAACTGCAGTTTGGCACTTTCATTTTTATTCATTTCATGCATTTCATGCATGCCCCCATGACGAACGAGAAATTGGATGCGAGGAAATGATAGAAGAGTATAGTTTTAATGGAATTTTGGATATCGCACACCGTATGGGAGAAAAAAAAAACTCAGCAGAGAAAAGTGTCAAGCAGCCGTGTGTGTGTAAAGATCATCCCGTTACAAAATGTGGCGAAAATCCTACAAGATGGTAATAGTCTGATTAAGGTGTTTACATGTTTACATTAGGAGAGCAGCATTTACAGCAGATCTTTCAGTCCATAATATTGTAGTGATATTGAAAGAGTACTGCTGACGATACTAACTACCTTTGCCATCTGAATAAACAAACAAGGAACACCGATCGCTCACTTACCAAATCCATAGAGACAGGACAATCAACGCAAACTGGAACTGCTTCTTTTTTAAAAGAAGACGATGAGCAAATCCGGATTTCACCATTTACAGATGCGAAAAGCTCTTGGGTAAAAATGGTCTTTACAAATTTCCTTAAAACATTTTTGTTGCGTGTTAAAAGACCACTGTAGTCCACAAATATGGGTCCTTTCTCATTGCGGGAAAATGAAAACAAAACCTTTGTTGTGGCACGTTTACGAACAACACTGACGACCCATGTCTCCGAACAATTCTTCTTCTTCCACTTGTTTTATTTACGGTTAGCAACACAACGTGGCGTTTCTCTGAATACTGTAACAGGTAGTTTTTGAAGCTATCATGCATATAAATAAAGTTGCACCTCATTCACAATAGAGCGCGCTGTTTAGTTTGTCTTTCTCTTGAATTAATGATGAAAGCTCAAAGACGTCACATTGTACCCGCCGGTACAGACAGCCAGTCTCCATGCTGGAATTTACACAAGGAGCTCATGGCCTTGACGTAGCTTCAAAATTTCTTTTCAAACCGGAAGAACAAATTTGTTTGAAATAACGCAAAAACAACCAATTTTCACTTTTATTGTTAAATATGTGTCCTAAGAGTGTTTTTAGCAGCGTGGAACATATATATGACTATTAACATCTCAAAAATGTGTTTTGGTGTTTTGTGACCCTTTAAACCAAAAGGCAGAAGCAGTGAGTTGAGTAAATGTCAGCGACTCACCAGGTTTATGAGAGGCCCTCCTGAATTTCCAAACTGTAAAGCAGAATTGTGATTGAGTGATGGAATGCAATTCATTAAATGATAACATACATTTTTTTTGCATGCAACACCACCCAGTTTCCAGTGCTCTTACATCTATGGTAGCGTCCGTCTGGATGTAGTCCATGTTGGAGTTGGAGAGACCCAGTTCTTTACTGCCTCTCTGAGCAGAGCTGACGATGCCAGATGTGATGGTGTTTTTAAGAGAAAAGGGGCTCCCCATGGCAACCACAAATTCACCTTGACGCACATCAGATGACTTGGAGAAATGGAGAAAACAATGACACTATGTCAGACTATATGGTCATGTACTAGAACTGTGGTTAAAGAAAACTGAAAAATCAATTGCAAAAATGGCTTTCCAAACATAAAAGCCTCCTCTGTTACTGTTCAAGTCTCAAAATTAACCTTTTTGTTAGGTAGTCATCACACAAAATTTAGTCGCACCCACCAATTATAAGCAACGTTACTACAGGTTTTATACAAACAGATTTATTGCATTTGAAATCAACACTAATCAAACTAAAAAGCAAAAAAATATATATATTTATATATATATGCATGCGTGAGGAAAATGTCTCAGCGAAATCCTGTTATCACAAGAAAATAGATTTTATAACATAACTGAGTGACCAAAGCATACAGGGTTCTTGCAACATTTTAAAAGTAAAATTTAATGCTTTTTAAGACCTTTTTAAGACCTCAACAAATATAATTTAAGACCCAAAAATTTTATAATTTCTTTGGAATAGGCTACTCATTTTAATGTTCTCGTTAGATTTAAATAAATTGTGCCTCGTCACAGTATGGATAACCCACAGTACCTGCTTTTTGGGTGTCTGGTGGTGAAATGAAACTGTTATAGCTGACTGTGAGGGGGCGTCTGAACTAGAGCTGTAATCAGGATATAAAAGTTAGGCCCGATAGAGCCCGAACCCGACAAGTACATTTAGATTCACAGCTTTCTAAAAGCCCGAACCCGTTTATAGCCCGACATTATCCAAATGTGCACTTGCACATAGCTCTTTTGTCTTTTTTCATGAATGAGTTGTTTATAAGGGTTAACATTACTTATTTATAACATAGGCTATAGGCCTAACATTAGTAACTAGTAACATTGTTAGGTCGAGCTGCAAACAATGAAGGGATTAACCTGGACCTGCTATGACAAGCTGCTGCAACGTCCCGCTGCTGCTTTCCTCCTTTCATGTGCGACTCGATGACTTTGAGCCACATGGTCCCTAACGAAAAGGTATTTTTGTAGAATTTACACATTCCCTCTTTGCCACGTCGTTAAATGTACAATTTCCCATCTTTGCATTTTGACACATCAACAATCGCATAATAACAGCACGCAGGTGCAGACCGACGTAAGCGTCTGTACTCTGTAGCTGACCTACCGTAATAAGCTAATAAATCACGGAGACTGTCATTTCTCTCCTGTTTTACAAGTGCTAAATTAATCAACTATTAGATGTTTAACGGTGGACCACTGTGCTTCCCTATCGTCATTAAGCACACCGGCTGAATATTTAATACCTACAGCCACTTTACGCTAAAATTTAAGACAATTTAAGACCTTAATTTCCCTGATTTTAATTTAAGACATTTTAAGACTTTTAAAGCACCCGGGGGAACCCTGGCATACACAGACCGCTGTGCTGTTCTCACGGGTGGTGTCCGATATTGCACTGATGCTTTTGACATGTACTGTACCCTATTATATGCATACATCATGTTAATAGCTATACCGGTCTTCATGAGTAGCGATAATAGTTTTCTCGGCTCAAGCCCGTTTGCCATGGTGTACGTGGTGTTACATTTTACATATAGCTGCCACTTGCACGGCGGGCATCTGGCGATTATATGAAGGATTAAACAGAAGCTCTCGTGCTAGATGTGGCAAACAGTTACCTGAAAATTCCATCCCACAGACTTTTCATAGCGGACTTGAAGCCAATGGAAGTCTTATCCACTCTTTGAAAAGTGTAGATGGTGGATTAACATTCAGCACATGATCACTAGTAAGATGTGTCATTATTTGTAACTTTAGATGACAGTTTCTAAAACAAAATCTGTCAGTGTTATCTTAATTCTCATATTCAGCGCTTTATAATTTTTCGCAATAGTAGCTCTCCCTGTCATCCCAAGCCAGAAGGCATTGACTGAGTGATTGACAGCTGATATTAACCAATCCATTCACGCTCTGTTCTAGAGCAATGGCCCAATAAGAAGAGCTCAAAGGCGGGGCAAGTATTACGGACTTGGCTTTGTTTACTGCAGCAAGTTGACATGACAACTGTTGTAAACCATTCCTAAGAACTATGTTTCGCATTTCAAGAGCAGAGATGCATTCTGCGTGAATGTCCTCCAAATCCACGCATGTGGTGAACATTTTGCAGTAAAAACTGGTCGCACACATCAATTTTATGCACTCGCAAAAATGCTTCAAAATATATTTTGAGGTCGCATAGATAAAATTTCGGGCGCATAAGTGACCGAAATGGTCGCAATTTCGAGCCCTGCTGTTGATTTAACTAAAAATGTTGACAATAATTATTCTTTAGTTGCTGTAATATTACTGTGTTTAAAAATCCGAGGATACAAAATCAAATGTCACTAAGGTTATCACAATTTCGAGTTTATTTCCATATTTGTATGCGGCCGTTCCTCCTGAAATATTACAGCGTGTATGTAGCCTAAATACAGTATAAACAGATTAATGGGTTAACACCAGGGCTTGACATTAACACCCACCAACCGCAGGTAGACTTCGGCTGTGGCGGATTAGACAGCCACTCCCACTATCCACTTTGGCTGGTCGAAAATCATTTTTAAATTGTATTTTTTTAAAAGCAGGGTTCGACAATAAGGATGAACCTCTAGAAATGAGAAGCAGCTCGACTGACAAAAACAACTGTGTTCATGCAAGCAAAAGAAAGCAGATGAATACAGAATGTTATGTGATGCGCGCAATTTTTTAAAAACGTGCACGCTCTCATTTCCATGCGTGAAGCAACCTTGACTGGAAACACAATGCTGCAATCGGTTCTGTTTGAAATAGACTGGACAAGAAGTGATACGCATCCACCATTTTCAAGAGCTCGAGATTTTTAAAAAAGAAGGTATTTTATGTATGCAGCAGCAGTTGCAGCTTTAGCTTTAAACAATCTTTAAACAGATTATTAATGGGGCTAACGTTAAAGGGCCATGAAACCCCTTCGTTTCAGCAGGGTGTTTTCACACCTCTACTTTGGAAAAAGTCAGAAAAGTGGGCGTGTCCAGCTCTGTTTAGGGGGGAGTGTCGGAGGAAGAAAAGAGGCTTGGTGTGGGAGTGTCTATTTGGGCGCGCTGAATTTCAGAGTCAAAACACACAACCACAGCGAACAATGTGACTGTGTTTACACGGACATCTGTAGTCGAATTATTTGCCAAATTATTAAATGGTGGACTTTAACTGCAGTTTGGCTCTTTCATTCAGGGAATTCATTCATGTCCCTCCCGACAAACGTGATATTTGATTCGAGGAACTGCTCTAAGCGTGTATTTTTCATGCAATGTTTGATACCGCACGGCGAATGAAAGAAAAAAAACAGCATTTCCCGGAAACTTAGATGCACACGACAGGTAGTGTCAGAAAGCCGCGTGTGTTATTCCGGTCACAAAATCCAACACGAGGTTATAGTTTAATTGTAACTGTTAGTGCTAACTTGTTTACACTCGGTGCAATAGTTTGTTTGATACGAATAAAATACGAACTGAATAAACAAAGAGCACTGGTCGCTCACTTACCAAATCTGTAGAGACGGGACAATCACCAGCAACTAGAGCCGCGTCTTTATTTAGAGGAGACCACAAGCGAATCCGGATGTCAGCGTTTGCAGATGAGAACAGCTCTCAGGTAAACAATAATCCTCCTTAGACACGTAAGTTATTGTTGTCGCGCGTCGCATACACCGTTAATCCACAAGTGACGCCAGCTGAGCTCTCACAGAGAGAAAATGAAAACAAAACTTAACTGCAGCAAACTATAAAAGCAACACTTCACGCTTGTTTTGCCAATACAACGTGGCGTCTCTGCCGTCTACACTCTGACAGTAATGAATATAATATATAAGTTGCACAATAGAGCGCGCTGATGGGTTTGAACCAAGCCTTACTCATGCATTAATGCAACACACTGTAAGACGTAATAAGACACACTCTGGTACAGATGTCCAGTCTGCACGCTTGAATACAACGCTATTATGTCATGACCGTGACGCAGCTTCAAAAATTAGTTTCAAACAGGAAGTACGAATTTGCTTGAAATAACGCAAAAACAACCAATTTACACTTTTAGTGAAATATAGGTGTCCTAATAGTGTTTTTAGCAGTGTGGGACACATATACGACTGTCAACAGCTCAAAAAATGTGTTTTGGTGTTTCGTGACCCTTTAACTGTGTGGGTTTGATCATCCTTTCATTATTGCACACGGTATGTTTTTCACCTGCTTTCGTTTTGTTAAAATGATTTAATTATCATTCTTTTCAGTAACATTGATTAAACAGATTAACTTTTATGCAAAGTTTACTGCTGATCTGAGACCTTTAGCTACACTGTAAAAAATTGCTGTTAAAAAACGGTCAGATTCTACGGTAAAATAATGTTTTTTCACTAAAACAGTAATATTCTGTTAAAAACAGTGCATTCTGGGTAACATTTTTGTTTTCGAGAAAGTAACCAACTGCAGAAAACTGTGAGCGAACAGAGTTCAGATTCGATGTTTTGAAGTCTGTGTTTGAAATCACGCTTTGTGTCCTTGTTCACTATTTCATACACTAGTTAACTAATATAGTTCACCTGACAGAGTTAATGAACACTAATGAGTGAATTCAGACACTGATGAACACCTGCTGTTAATAATTACAATTACTGAAGAAAATAAACAAGAAACACAAACAGTGACTTGAGTTATAACATTAAATAAAATAAAATAAAATAAAACAGCTTCAGTCTCAGCAGAGGATCATAAAACAACTCCACAAACAACAGCAGACACACTTATTACTGACTGATTTGACTTCCATACTATTCTCATTGAGATCCAACAGAAATTAAGGTGTTTTTCGTGTCACCGTAATGGAGTGAGGGGCTGGTTTAGTTGGGCTCTTCACCCTTAAACTTATTAATTCAGACTCTCCAATTACTATAATAAGGAGTTAACAAAATGCTTGTATTATAGCAATCAAGTTGGAAAGTCAATAAATAGAGAAATCTATTTGTCTGAAATTAGTTCTGATAAATGTTTTGTTATAAATCTGGAAGAAGGGCCTCATGCAATAGATTTTATGCTTAGTTGCAGGTATTAATTTAATTAATGAGAAGTGGAAACAGAAAAGATACCTCCGAAATTACTTAACAGTTAAGAAATAACATACAAAAACAGTTCAGTTATGACACATACAAACTCAGACCTCATAAATCTGACCTTGTATCTCAACAATGGTAACATCTCAAATGTTTCATGCTGCAATGCATGCTGGGAGTGGCACGGTACAAATATCCCAGCATGCATTGCGGTATAAATAAATGTTGTATAATGGTCTAACAGTTTTCTTTTTTTGTGTTTGATTCTGCTGTTGTTTATGTTTAGACTTTCAGTTGCCTGTTTGTGAGTTAAACTGTTAATTTTGTTAGTTGTCACCATTATTGAGGTTCATATGCTGATTATTGATGTCTCTTTGAGTGCGATTTACACCATAGAGCAGTGTTATTGTCCAAGATATTCTTAAAAACTTCCAGAAATCATTGCCATATATAGATATATAATATAAAACAATAGATTTAACATTGAATAGGAGCAGTAAATTTTCTTATACTAAATGAGAACAGACTCTGCCATTTAATAGCAACATGAACATCACCAGATCTTATTTAGGTTTTTGGCTGGCTTGCCTCAACAAAGGAGCTTTTTAAACAAAGTTCTTAACAATTGCAGCAGCCAAGATATATAAATGTTAAAAATGACAGGGCTAAGAGCCCAACTAAAGCAAACTCTGTTCTTCATGATGGTGACGTAAAACGTTAACTTTTTCCTAAGAAGAACTTTAGTAGATGTTATACAAAAATACATGTATTAAGTAATAAGTGAAGCTGGTGATGATGTTTGTAGAGTTGTTTAATCATCCGCTGATCATTTAAATGATTAAATCATTTGTTGTTCTTCAGGTTATTTCATTATAAAGCTGTGACTAAAGTTTTGTATGTTCTGTTCTTGTTTTCTCCCTTCAGTATTTCTTCATTTATTCATTGTTAATCCTCAATTATCATTTAATTAGTCAGTTAATTAATGAATTTACTTCAGCTTTGCTACACGTTTCTTGAACACTCAGTAGTGTGGACACTTCAATAAAAACTGAAGTATATGCTCTGGGGTTTAAAGGGTTAAAGGTGTGAGAGGTAAAAACACAGTGTAAAATGTATTTTAACAGTAATATACTGTTAATTTAAACTACGGAAGTAGACTGTAAAAAAAACAGTAGATTGCTGGCAACCACAGCTGCCAGTAGTTTACTGTTAAATAAAGGAAAAAAACAGTATTTTACTGTAAAACCTGAAGCTAATTTCTTGTGTGTGTCACCGTTGTGGAGGAGAGTAGAGCCAGAACTGCTGATGTTATTCTGTATGTTTCTTTATTTAAAGAAAGCGGCTGTTTAGTTGCTGATGCAGTCAGAATCTCTCTGGTAATTCCAGATTTACATGTATGTGTGCTGTTGTGAAATATAAGACATTAGAGTTAAACCGAATTTTTCTAATTAACTAAAATAAGTTATCATTATAAGTATACTTCTAAGCATGTATAGCACAATACTTCATAAACTCATTCAGCAGTTGACCAATTTGAGGCAGTTGCTTTCAGTGAGCAAAATGAGTTCCCATGAGTATTGTGTAAATCAATGTAGTCCATGTATTTTTACAGCAACATACTGTAAAATAACAGTACATTGCTGGCAACAGCAGCTGCCAGTATTTTACTGTTTTTAACGGGACAATTTTTAACAGTGTAGGACAAACTGCTTTGCATAGTTTTAGACAGGCTCCATGACAATAATTATTATTTAAGTTTTATTTAATAAAAAGTGTATGCATATTATAACATATATTTTGCTGGTTTTTGAATTTTTTTAATTATAAAATTTTTAGAGAAAAAATTGGTACAACCTTAATGTTGAGCCCTGAAATAATAACCAATTACAATGCAACACCATGAAACCACTACCGCTCATACTCATTTAGCAAAGTCATACACAACACATCTAAATCAAGTAATTTTGCAAATATATTTTCCCAAAAACAAAAGTGAAAATGGCGAGTGGCTAGTAAAGTTGAAAAACTACTAGCCATATAGGCTGGTGATCAAAAAAGTTAATGTAGAGCCATTAAAAACATTAAAATCATATTGACCTCACACTTTTAAAGTACTAACCGTGATACATTTTTGATTCTTTAAGCTCAATTCTTAAATGAACAAAGTTCAAAAAGAAATTACTCATTTGATAAAGACCTTTTACTAAAAATGTAAATTAATAAAATAAAATGAGTCCTTGCTCTTACCATATAAAACTATGACTCATTAAAAATAGGGATGCACCGATACCATTTTTTATAAACTATTTGATTTCGATCCCAAAATTCTGAGTGTCGACCAATACACATCCGATCCCGATACTGTGCCGGTTTTTCTTTTAAGCATAATATAGTTTCTATGGTGATAAACTCAAACAATATATCTTGCTTAGTAAAAATAAAAGACCTATAGGCCTACTGTATATGACAGACGACACAATCTAACTGAAAACATGATGCTTGCTGTAAACCAGGCTACATTATTTGAGGATTTGTTATGACATTGATCTGATGTGGTCCAGCTTATGTTTCTTTTTAATAGTAAGATTTTTCTTTGAACTCTGCAACAGCCAACCACTATTGACCCTAATCAAAACACAAACTGATCTGTTAAATAAACTATTGATATAAATAAAATTACAGTCAAATATTCACAGTTTCAGAGTAACCTATATGAGGCTAAATAATTTTCTGTTAATGACAATCAATATTGTGCCTGTCAGTTTCACTTTTATTAATTTAATCAACAACTTTGACCACAATGAGCCAGGCTTACAAACTATCCTAAAAGTATTCCCCTAGGAAGAATAAATTCAGTCGGATAATTCTACAGAGCGGCACACGTCACATCAGCCGGTGTGTGAATGAAGTGCTTGATGCATTACTGAGACAGCGCGCAGTCCTCCGCTATCTGCAGACACTTCCAATCCAAAACAGCAGTAAAAAGGGAAGAAATCAGTGCGTTAAGGATCTGTCCAATGTATTATTGAGCCTTTTCTAGTTTTAAATTTCAGGTAGGCCTACTTTGTGTGTGAAGAGCAGGTAATAACCCACTCAGTTCCAGTGTTGCGAATGCGATCTGCTGATCTAACAGCTACATGATTTAGAAACAGAAATGAACTCGTCATTTCAGGTCGAAATGAACCAATATAATATTTATTATATTATAATAAATTAGTATAATGTAATATAATAAATTTATATTTATTTAAATTAACAGGGACAAATAGTGTTGGAGAAAGTTTTTCATGTTGTCATGAACGTGACACGCAGTTTGAATTGTAAATAAATGGAGAATGATTGACAGGCGCAGCGGAGGGAAGCGTGGAACTGAACATGAATTTAAGCATGTGAATATTGATCTGTACTTCACATTAAACTATAGAATGGCTTCAAAACATTTGGGATACAGTAGGCCTACAAGACAACTTTCTACTGTCTTATAAAAGGCTAACTTTTTGGCATTTGTTTGCTTATAAAATACACAGAATATAGAGCACGTGCAAGATGGGATTTGCAGTAAAAATATGCAGTATCGAACCAATATCCAATCCAAGTATCAGGATCGGTGCAGCCCTAATTAAAAAATTAAATATCCCCAAAAGATTACACATGTTAACAGTACAACCTCAAAGCTCCATCTGTACCTTAACATTGATTTTGATGGTGGCGATGTCTGCAGCCTGATCTACATCCTGAACTGTGGCGTTGTAAGTCTCACCATTGGTCAATTTGACACGAACACCACGCTTGTTGGCAACCACATGGGCATTTGTCACTATCAGGCCATCACTACTTATTATAAAGCCAGAGCCATTTGAGATGGGAACCTCACGGAGAGAAATGTTGTACTTTGATAGTCATTGGCTGCTAATATGATTTCGCTATTTAGAGTTTGCAAATAATACTTTTATGAAATTATATTATTAAGGGAAAAGTCTGAATCTGCGAATATAAAACCAACTTTACTTTTATAAAATATGCTGATAATACAACAGTAAGTACTGTACATCTATTTGTTTCTCAATATAGTATCGTTACTTTTAATACAAAATGTGTCACATGTTTAGTTGCTACCTAAATTAAAGATTTGTTTCCATTTTTATCAAACCATTTGGTAAGTTTTTTAAATCTTTGTTTATAATATTTTTGAGCAGATTGGGGTCTGTCATGGGTCAGACATTTTGTAATACAATATTTAGTATTGGGATACATGCATTTGTCCAGATGCTGTGGTGGTCATGGAGGAGTGGAGAGTGAGAGACTGATTCCTGAAAGACACACGTGATCGATGAGTTTCCGCATTGATCCAGTGGGCCAGCCTGACCACCTGCCGGTAACCTTTCAAGTCTCTGGTGCCTAGACTGCGGCTTTGCATAAGTTTGGCTAGTGGAGAACTGGTCGTGGCCAACTGAGCATGGTTTCTCTCCAGGGCTTTTATTCTACACTTTTGTCAGTTGGTGAAGTTTGTTCCATGCCACTGTCGCCACTGGCTCGCTCGGCTCTGATTGGTGGATCGGTGGATTTGCTCTTCAGTGTTTGGACTTTCAGCAGTGACATTTACAACTTCAACTCTGAAAACTGGACTGAAGCAGCTTCAATTTACAAGAACTTCTATGTTAAGCTGCTTTGACATCATTGATCTACATTGTAAAAGTGCAATAGAAATAAAGATGAATTGCATTTGAACATGTGAATTCAGACATTGTTGAGCATTTGACACCAGAATTTGTAATATTTTAAAGTTGGGTTGTTTCTGAGTCGGCTAATGGTTACAAATATTTATTTTTCCAACAATACGCAATTCAGACGTTTAAATTATTATTGTACGTATTATTGTATGTTGTGCTTTGTGTGATTTATTAATTTTTAATCTGTTGATTTTAATACTTAATGTAATTTTCACACATTTTGTTTAAATGCTTTAAGCATCATCAATGTTTTAAAGAATGGAATATTTTATAATTGTGTCTGGTTTAATGTCAGTAGTACTAAGTACAATTGTTTTTATTCTCTCAACAATATGCAGGTCAGACAGTTAAATTAGTTTTGTACATGTATGTTCATGTGCTTTGTCGTTTTCAATGTTTTTTTCTTAAAATAAGATCATTTGAATGTTTGAAATGTAGTGTTTTTACACTGTTTTCTTAAATGTTTTAAGCATCTCCAATGTTTTAAATAAAGAGTGTTTATTTTGTTAATATTTTGTAATCGTGTCTTTTTTATGTCAATAGTACTAAAATAATATTCATAAAATTACGTTATAAAATATATAGGACAAAATTAAAAGGTTTACAGTAGGTAACTGTTTACTTAGCTTTTAAAGTAATTAACCATTTTTAGACACTACGGTAACATGCTGTAAACTGATTTACGGTTGTATACTGTAAATCTCAAATACAGTAACTTACTGGCAACAGTGTTTCCAGTAAGTTAGTGTAAAAACCCTTTGAAATGTCTAAAACCTGGTTTATACTTCTGCATCAAGTGACCAGCGTAACCAACGGCGCATGCAACACGCGTAGCTGTGCATTTATACCTCTGCGCGCTGTCTCTGTTGTTAATGTGTTAATGTGTCTCTGTGTCGAGTTTCTTCGCCTGTGTTTTGTTCTTTCTGAACGCTTCCGGGATGTACAAGTGGCTCAAACTCGCTCATTTTGAGGCAGGAACCGGCGGACGTGCAACAACTTTAACTACGAGGTAAACACAAAACAAAACTTTCCATCAGGAGCTCCTTCACAAGACTCCACACTTGTAAACAATCGCTCCATTGGGCTCGCGCCGCTCTCAGTCCCGCCCAGACTCGTCAGCACTACCAAGCTGACCAATCACAGAGCTTGCGCTACGTGTCGTTGCGAAGTGTAGTTACATATTTTTTGAGAAGTGCACGTCAGCGACGCCGATGGCCACGGCGTAGGGCTATGCATCAGCGCCGTAGCATATGCGTGTGCTTGACGCAGAAGTATAAATCAGCCTTAACAGTGTACAAGACAACTTTCTACTGTCTTATAAAAGGCTACCTTTCTGGCTTTTGTTTATAAATTACACAGAATATAGAGCACGAGCAAAATGGGATTTGGATGGGTACCAGCTGGCTGATACCCGATCCAGCAAAAATATGCAGTATTGAACCGATATCCAATCCAAGTATTAGGATCGATGCATCCCTAATTAAAAAATTAAATGACCCAAAAAGATTACATATGTTAACAGTACAAACTCAAAGCTCCATCTGTACCTTAACATTGATTTTGATGGTGGCGATGTCTGCAGCCTGGTCTACATCCTGAACTGTGGCGTTGTAAGTCTCACCATCGGTCAGTTTGACACGAACACCACGCTTGTTGACCACATGGGCATTTGTCACTATCAGGCCATCCCTACTTACTATAAAGCCAGAGCCATTCGAGATGGGTCCCTCACGGCCAGAAAAGGGGTGTCTGAAAAGAAAGAGTGTAATATTAGTCACAATTCCCAAACACAACTGAAACTAAAACCATCTGGTCATCTTAAAATAGAAACAAGTGATCCAAAAAGTCTCTATAGAGAGAATCAACATAAAACACCCTGCTGAAAAAAACAATCCTGTTGTGCGCGCGCATGTAAAGGTAACTGGGTGAACAAGTCAAACAAAGTATATACACAAGAGAACATAAAAATATACAACAATTCAAAAAAATGAAGCAAGAATAATAAAGATTTAAATAAAACATATAATAGATAGATAGTACAATAATAATAATGATAGTAATAATGTCAGTGAAAATGACAACAGCATTATTAATAACAACAACAACAACTACAACTACCACTTTTGATTACTTAACATTCAGAAATTAAACCGAATTAACAAAAAATATTGTAAATATACGTGTAGTGTTAAAACATTGTTGGGTTTTACAACCCTGCGAAATGTGAGAACGTTTTAACAATAGAAATGATAAAAAAGTAAAGAATTAGGTTAACTTGATTGTTTTTATAAATGTAAGTGAGTTGAACATAAAACAGTCAAGTTGCCCCCAATAAACTTAAGAATTGAGTTGCTTCAACACGTTAAATAAGTATTTTATAAATGTCTGATAACAATAATTTTGTTAATAATAATGACATTTGGGGAAAAAGGGTTTGGTTCTATTTTTATAGTAATTAAATGTTTATAATTTAAAATGTTTATAATAATTAAATGTTTTGCCGCCTTGTTTTTGAGTTGTGCAATGCAAAAAGACCCTCTTATAGCAAGATTAGGGAAGCACCGAAATGAAGCTTGTTGATTGAAACGGAGAATTCTAGATGCATTTGGCTGAAAACTGACACTGAAAAGGCTTTTTAATAATTGGAAATTATTTTAATAAATAAAAAAATATATAGTTTTATATCAAATAATAAAGTAATTTGGCGATGCAGTAGGTAGTGCTGTCACCACACAGCAAGAAGGTCACTGGTTCGAGCCTCGGCTGGGTTGGCATTTCTGTGTGGAGTTTGCATGTTCTCCCTGCGTTCGCGTGGGTTTTCTCCGAGTGCTATGGTTTCCCCCACAGTCCAAAGACATGCGGTACAGGTAAATTGGGTAGGCTAAATTGTCCGTAGTGTATGAATGAGTATGTATGTATGTTTCCCAGAGATGGGTTGCAGCTGGGAGGGCATCCGCTGCGTAAAAACATATGCTGAATAAGTTGGCGGTTCATTCCGCTGTGGTGACCCCAGATTAATAAAGGGACTGAGCCGAAAAGAAAATAAACGAATGAATGAATAAAGTATTTTTGTGAGGCTTTTAAATTAAACTCAATAACTTAAATTAACAGTGAAATTAATAGTAAAAATAAAAATGATTCCATCATTTACTCACCCTCTGCATATTTGAAATCGTTATGAGTTTCTTTCTTCTGTTAAACACAAAAGAAGACATTTTCAATAATGCTGAAAACCTCTAGCTATTGACTTCCATTGCAGGAAAAATAACTACTATGGAAGTCAATGTTCAGGTTTTCAGCATTATTAAAAATATCTTCTTTTATGTTCAACAGAGTCAAAAAAAAACTCAGAAATGATGACAGAAGTTTCCTTTTTGGGTAAACCACACAACTACTTGCAAATATGCTCATGTTACATTTCCTCGAGTTAGACAGTTCAGTTTATTCTTCTTTTTTTTTAAAGAGCCTCTATTATGGGTTTTTGAGAATGACCTTCCATGTATTGTGTAACACAGCTCTAAGTGAAGTGAATTATTCAGCTAAGACTTAAATCTGCAAGTGCGCAGTGTTTAAAACTGTTGATTTATTTATAAAAGAGTCGACTCGCAATGCTTCAAATGAATCGTCTTGATAACGAGTCTTTAGCCGTGCCGGCGTGACCAGGAAATGGAACTTAAGCCCCCCTCAGGGCCGGATTAACCAATGGGCCTTATAGGCACAGGCCCAGTGGCCCGAGCGCACTTGGGGCCCCTGCGAGGGGGGAGAAGAAAAAGACAATTTCGGGGTGTTTTTTTAGGCTAACTGCAAATAGTGCACCTAGTTGGAATAAGCTATTCACGCTTTACGCCCATCGATGCTTGATTGACAGAGACAACGTGAGTAAAGAGCAGGGCCAGACGGAATCTGCGGACGTTTTTTGCTATTTCTGCAGAGAATTTTGGTAAAAATCTGCGGATTTCTGTGGAATTATTTTGGGAGTATCCAGCGGAGTATCATAACTTACACCTTAATATATTAAATAAAAAGTAATAAAT